GTCAAGACATACACAGATGTGCCAGTTACAGCAGAGATCAACACAGTGTCAAGACATACACAGATGTGCCAGTTGCAGCAGAGATCAACACAATGTCAAGACATACACAGATGTGCCAGTTGCAGCAGGGATCAACACAATGTCAAGACATACACAGATGTGCAAGTTACAGCAGATATTAACCCAGTGTCAAGACATACACAGATGTGCCAGTTACAGCAGAGATCAACACAGTGTCAAGACATAGACAATTGTGCCAGTTACAGCAGAGATCAACACAATGTCAAGACATACACAGATGTGCCAGTTACAGCAGAGATCAACACAATGTCAAGACATAGACAATTGTGCCAGTTACAGCAGATATTAACCCAGTGTCAAGACATACACAGATGTGCCAGTTACAGCAGAGATCAACACAGTGTCAAGACATACACAGATGTGCCAGTTGCACCAGAGATCAACACAATGTCAAGACATACACAGATGTGCCAGTTACAGCAGAGATCAACACAATGTCAAGACATACACAGATGTACCAGTTACAGCAGAGATCAACACAATGTCAAGATAATACACAGATGTGCCAGTTGCAGCAGAGATCAACACAATGCATGTCAAGAGAATACACAGATGTGCCAGTTGCAGCAGAGATCAACACAATGTCAAGACATACACAGATGTGCCAGTTACAGCAGAGATCAACACAATGTCAAGAGAATACACAGATGTGCCAGTTACAGCAGAGATCAACACAGTGTCAAGACATACACAGATGTGCCAGTTGCAGCAGAGATCAACACAATGTCAAGACATACACAGATGTGCCAGTTGCAGCAGAGATCAACACAGTGTCAAGACATACACAGATGTACCAGTTACAGCAGAGATCAACACAATGTCAAGACATACACAGATGTGCCAGTTACAGCAGAGATCAACACAGTGTGAAGACATACACAGATGTACCAGTTACAGCAGAGATCAACACAATGTCAAGACATAGACAATTGTGCCAGTTACAGCAGATATTAACCCAGTGTCAAGACATACACAGATGTGCCAGTTACAGCAGAGATCAACACAGTGTCAAGACATACACAGATGTGCCAGTTGCAGCAGAGATCAACACAATGTCAAGACATACACAGATGTGCCAGTTGCAGCAGAGATCAACACAGTGTCAAGACATACACAGATGTACCAGTTACAGCAGAGATCAACACAATGTCAAGACATACACAGATGTGCCAGTTACAGCAGAGATCAACACAGTGTGAAGACATACACAGATGTACCAGTTACAGCAGAGATCAACACAATGTCAAGACATAGACAATTGTGCCAGTTACAGCAGATATTAACCCAGTGTCAAGACATACACAGATGTGCCAGTTACAGCAGAGATCAACACAGTGTCAAGACATACACAGATGTGCCAGTTGCAGCAGAGATCAACACAATGTCAAGACATACACAGATGTGCCAGTTGCAGCAGAGATCAACACAGTGTCAAGACATACACAGATGTACCAGTTACAGCAGAGATCAACACAATGTCAAGACATACACAGATGTGCCAGTTACAGCAGAGATCAACACAGTGTGAAGACATACACAGATGTACCAGTTACAGCAGAGATCAACACAATGTCAAGACATAGACAATTGTGCCAGTTACAGCAGATATTAACCCAGTGTCAAGACATACACAGATGTGCCAGTTACAGCAGAGATCAACACAGTGTCAAGACATACACAGATGTGCCAGTTGCAGCAGAGATCAACACAATGTCAAGACATACACAGATGTGCCAGTTGCAGCAGAGATCAACACAGTGTCAAGACATACACAGATGTACCAGTTACAGCAGAGATCAACACAATGTCAAGACATACACAGATGTGCCAGTTACAGCAGAGATCAACACAGTGTGAAGACATACACAGATGTACCAGTTACAGCAGAGATCAACACAATGTCAAGACATAGACAATTGTGCCAGTTACAGCAGATATTAACCCAGTGTCAAGACATACACAGATGTGCCAGTTACAGCAGAGATCAACACAGTGTCAAGACATACACAGATGTGTTAGTTACAGCAGAGATCAACACAATGTCAAGATAATACACAGATGTGCCAGTTGCAGCAGAGATCAACACAATGTCAAGACATACACAGATGTGCCAGTTACAGCAGAGATTAACCCAGTGTCAAGACATAGACAGATGTGCCAGTTACAACAGAGATCAACACAATGGCAAGATAATACACAGGTGTGCCAGTTACAGCAGAGATTAACCCAGGTTCAAGACATAGACAGATGTGCCAGTTACAACAGAGATCAACACAATGGCAAGACATACACAGATGTGCCAGTTACAGCAGAGATTAACCCAGTGTCAAGACATAGACAGATGTGCCAGTTACAACAGAGATCAACACAATGGCAAGATAATACACAGGTGTGCCAGTTACAGCAGAGATTAACCCAGTGTCAAGACATAGACAGATGTGCCAGTTACAACAGAGATCAACACAATGGCAAGACATACACAGATGTGCCAGTTACAGCAGAGATCAACACAATGTCAAGATAATACACAGATGTGCCAGTTAAAGCAGAGATCAACACAGTGTCAAGACATAGACAATTGTGCCAGTTACAGCAGAGATCAACACAGTGTCAAGACATACACAGATGTGCCAGTTACAGCAGAGATCAACACAGTGTCAAGACATACACAGATGTGCCAGTTACAGCAGATATTAACATTCATTCATTCCTTTAGTCATTTCTTTCTTCCTTCATTCAGTATCAAGACACAATGTCGAGTTTATAATATATGATGCCACCGACAAGTCAGGTGACAACTGAGAGATTGACAGTAGATATATGCAGTATCCATTGTCGCTGTTCATCCTGCCCACGCGACTCCTTTATCACAGCTGCTACAACAGGGAAGTATTTTGACTCCGGGACCATAGGTTGTAAACTGTAGACTGCGCAGAAACGTATGATACACTACCATAATTGTTGGAGTAAGTTAAAATAGAAAATTAATATTGGAAATCGAAACTGGGGATAGTGAGTGAGTATGGTTTTACGCCGCTTTTAGCAATATTCCAGCAATATTTCATGGCGGGGGACACCAGAAATGAGCTCCACACATTGTACCTATGTCGGGAATCGAACCCGGGTCTTCGGCGTGACGAACGAACGCTTTAACCACTAGGCTACCCTACCGCCCACGTAGGTATAGTGCTCCTTAAAGTTCAGTAAAAGAGAATATTATATTAACTATAAAGAATACAATACATGTTATTAACTGTGGACGCATTTTATTGCAATAAATAAAAGCGACAAAGCCATGTCAATAATCTTTGAGAAAAAGCAGTTTATTGTACGATTTCAACCGTATCATGAGCATGTGCCTGTGTTAATTACCTCTTATAAGAGGTTTTCGCGAAAAGGTTAGTGTATCCTGTCCCACCGGCGGCACCAGTCACAAACACATGCAAAACAAGCCAATTATTCACGTGAAAATACACGGAAACATATGGGAAATGAATGGGAAAATCGTCAAAATAGGTACTTGTCTCGGACACAGTTTTGATCACTGATGCGTCAAATTTGGAAAAGTCCGCCACATGTCTACCACAAAACGTTTTGAAAGCTTTACTGAGGCCTTGAATACTGTAACCTTCATCAAACGAAGCTCTGGAAAGGAGTTGCCATTGACCTTGATTTGAGAGTAATAGTTTTTGTAGACTAGGGTCAAAGTGCATTATCATTCCATGCCATATCAATTTGAAATCGGGGCGGTCGGGTAGCCTAGAGGTTAAAGCGTTAGCTCGTCACGCCGAAGACCCGGGTTCGATTCCCGCCATGGGTACAATGTGTGAAGCCCATTTCTGGTTTCCCCCGCCGTGATATTGCTGGAATATTGCTAAAAGCGGCGTAAAACCATAATCACTCACCCACTCACTCAATTTGAAATCCTATAACATATATTAACCCGTTTAGATACAATATGGACATTAAACCACGAAGAACATTTACAATGAAATCTAATTTCATCAAAGATTTGTCAAAACTGTCATACAGACGTTGAATAAACATCAATTACGAACATCAATGAGATGACAAACACAGCCTTCGCCTTATAGGACATTATAATTAGGTTTCCCATTGATATATATGCGTCAGCCTTGATTAAAACAAATTTGATCGTACAGTTCATCGTCAAAATGATGGTTGATTAATTGTGTGCTTCTTGATAAAGTCCCTGTTGTGAAAAAAAGATTGTTAACATTTCAGTGGTCAACAAAACAGTGATGAAAAACAGCAGGTTATTTGTCTTGCCCAAATGGAAGAGCTGGTGGCCTTATGTAATCCCGTCATTAAACCTTCACTATTGGATCTCAATACAAATAAATCTGTGTTGACCGCCCTGTCTATCCGCCGTGGGAAGGACAAAGGTATCTAACCAGTGTGAAAACAGCCGTGCTGGGTTTATTAACAGCAAACCAAATGCCCTGCATTTCGTATCCTCAACCTGGTGAGAAGCAATCAATAAACTGCCCGCCGCTACTCGGAAGCATGTACTGCGCAGCCGTAATAGTAGATGCTCAATTCGGTTGGATTGACGTTGACACTGACAAGAGGTTCATGTACATATCCGAAAATGAATTATAATCTGCGGTGTATAGTTTTCACTTGCTGTATACAAACTGTACTGGGGGTTAGTTTTGGCGTGGAAATGTCTGCAGTGGCAACCTAGGAACAGGTTGAATAATACCTGTTCTGGCCATAAGTCCAAGTAAATATTTCTCAGTTACGCGCAAATTGAACATTTTACAAAGACCAGCATTCCTTGGTACACTGTTTTGTCACATAAAATACACCTGTGAAAATTCATTAGCGCACGTAATACTTGATGTTGGTGTGAAACATGAATCACAAAGTTTTTTAACCGAGAGACCCTTCACTCTAATCGAAAGTGCGCGAGTAGCAGACGACATAATCTAAAAATAGCTCCACGAGCAGGTGTGTTTTAGCTGTGACTCCAGGTGAGGAGAGTGATTCACCATTGAGGGGAAGGATATACGGGGTTCAGGAGCTTTTGTGTTGAAGGTAAGATTGGCCATTTATTTGTTATAGTTACAATCTTTCAAAACCTGTATTAACATAAAACTAACATACATCAAGCCGCCGAATCCGATACGGTGTCTTACGTTTTCCAATTAGAACTTATATATAGAAAACTGTCTTGTAATTGTGTTTCGTTAGCCGTGTGTTCAGCGGAATACCGTTATAAGATTTACAATACTTACACCGGTTGCCAACGTAACTGACAAGAAACTATATTCATAACAGATGATTGAAACCATTCAGTTTTCTTGTTGTGTTTGCAGCCAGCAACAAAAGGCAATACTGGGCGCATCTATGTGATATTACTATTGTTTACGTTGCCTTTTTTGGATTTAGTTAGTTTCCAATTGTTAGAGAAATTCATATGACGTAAGAAAATAATAATATGATCAAGCTGTATGTACTGTCGTATCTGTGATGTTTCTTATTTGATAGCGGGAGAGACATATTCACGTTCACTGCACACAACACGTGTATGATTTATAAACCCAAATTGTTTCGGACCTTTAGAACGTGCGTAATATGATAAATAATCAGCGATACATTTGGTTGTATTTCTTTTCCGCGCATCAATAATATATTTCAACTATGCCAGATGTTCATCTATGACAAATATAAACACGAAAAGCACTTTGTGTTTTTGAACGTCAAACACAGAATCGTATTGCTATAAATACTCCAAACGCTTATTGCATATTATCACCTTAGAAAATGCACAAAGGCTCCAGTGACACTGTTACAGTTGCTCGTTACCCCACTGTGCATACATCCACGGTGGGTAAGGTTATTTGTAGTTTAAAGGCGTTATTAGATTCCTGTATGCAAATCTGGCCCTAATCTTCGGTAGCCAGTGTTGTAGAACAATGCAGAGGGGACTCGCCGGGATCACGTATCGATCTCAGAGCTGGCGATACATCGACAGGCCGCACTAATTTGTGGGTAACGAACTGTGGCACGCACACAACTGAATACTTAATTAGTGGCATTGTCTATATACCAATCCAACATAGTAGTTTTACAGGATACCGTAGTAACATTGATCTGGCCATATACCCACCGATGCATGGACATTTGCGGCACGTACTTTGTGTATATGTGTATCCACAAAGTGTGTTTTATGTACGTGACACGTGTGAAACTAATTGAAAAAACGGCTTGTATAGGTAAAACTGGAATATAGATGAATTATGTTTTTCTTCAGATGCTTGGGCATTAAAATTGGGTTCATTATGAATTATCTTTTATGTAAAAATAATATTTAATGTTTATATAATTTTCAGCTAGTTTGCCTTTTACGCCCAGTGAGAGTGCGGCGTTAAACAACAAACAAACAAACAAACAAAACGCCCAATGAAATCTGTTTCGGCGGATAATAGAGACTGTTTATTCTCTGGTGTTGACGTTAAATATTCATACGTATTATATATTTTGATTGCACAGTATTCTTCCGAGATATAAACTTATGCTCATGTGACCGTTTTATTTACAAATATAGGAATCAAATACGTTTATTTCAATGAATACTACATACAATTTAGTGACAACTTATTTTATTCTTTGTAACGGAATTTCAGGGCCACTCCTTTCCCCTTCATAACCTGTTCTTCCAACTCCAAAATGCCTATCAAACAGTCCGCTTATTTCCATCTTCAAATCAAGCAACATCAACATGTCTTGCACTGCTCATGGAGGTGTACTGCCTTGTGCAATCATGGTATCAGTGACGACCGTGGTGGGAGCTAATGTAAACAGGCAATAACCAACAGCACATGTATTTGTTTCCATGCAAAAGCTAAACTTCATAGCCGTAGTCAATCTTCATTCAAACTAATAGATGTGTTGAAGTTGCTGCTGCTGATTATATTGTTAACTGCATATATCGGGTGTTTCATTAACCGATCGACCTGATGGTGGCTTGGATGCACGGTCGTTATGGAAACGAAAATAGTTTTAATGTTAACAGTTGATAGGGCGTGGCAGTCACGTGCTATTTCACCTGACGGAGACTATTGAGCTGACGTGATATCACTGTTGTGACCACGCAATATCGGCCAATTGGCTGTCATATTGTGAAAGAGCGAGCAGTCAATCTGGCTTACGCAATTTTGGAGGACAATATCAGAAGGATATTAAGATGTATCAGATGTCACGTAGTTGTAAAGATGGCAATTTAAGTTTAGCCACTGTTTGTATTAAATAACTCCACTCATATAACCCTCTGCTGAAAATGAAGTCTTACCTCAACTGTTCACATAATAACCCCAACACCGAAAAAAATAGCATTTGCGCTGCACATTCTGATCACATAAATTGCCAATACTCATTGCGAAAGTGAACGATCATTTCAGACATATTTGTCCTCTATCTAAACCTCAAAATCTATGATCGTTTAAAACGATATGTTTAAAGTGCCAGCACATCTGAATAGCACATATTTGCACTGCTGTTAATAGCAATCGTAAAACGACGAATATTGTGAAATATGTATCCTAATACTTCTGTCTATTTATCTTAGTTCCGAAGAGAATGTTGTGTCAACACGTTAACGCTCACGAACTCCGCGAATGTTGCATAAACATACGACAATCCAATACCGCCTCAATCTTATTGAAATAACCTTTTCAAATTCGCAACTTAAGTATTGAAATGAGAGAATCAATCCTCTATGTTGCAGAACAGCTGGATGATGATAACTCATCATAAATGATGAACAATGTGTGAAGGATACTTCACAAAACCATTCCAAGAAGATGGGTGGGGTCCTTGATCAATTTATACGCAGAAGTCAATAAGAGTTATAGTTAGAATGCGAACAATGATCATCAACACAGACTGGCGGTTAGATGTTTCTTAAATTATAAAGTAAATTATGATAAATTTTCAGTTTTCGCTTCTGCATACATATTAACTGAGATTTGATGTATTTTCTAGTGTAAAAACGACCGGTAAATAATAATGTCAACCTATTGCAGCTGAATATTTCACGTGTTATGAATAAGTACACATACATGCCGTTTTAGTACTTATTTATTTTCTGCTTACAAATAAGGATAGAACGTTTGTAATGCCACTCATGATACTATGGTTTATGTATGTGTATCAAACGTCTATGCATAACGCACTCTCCCCTGGAATATTAACTGGTTATATACAAAACGTTTATGCACACGTAAAGCAATCTCCCCTGTGATATTAACTGGTTATATACCAAACGTTTATGCATAACGCACTCTCCCCTGGAATATTAACTGGTTATATACCAAACGTTTATGCATAACGCACTCTCCCCTGACATATTAACTGGTTATATACCAAACGTCTATGCATAACGCACTCTCCCCTGGAATATTAACTTGTTATTTAACGTCTATGCACAAGACACATACCCTTTGGATATTAACTGGTTATATACCAAACGTCTATGCATAACGCACTCTCCCCTGTGATATTAACTGGTTATATACAAAACGTATATGCATAACGCACTCTCTTTAGGATAATAACTGGTTATGTACCAAACGTTTATGCATAACGCAATCTCCTTTGGATAATAAATGGTCATATACAAAACGTTTATGCATAACGCATTGTCCCCTGGGATATTAACTGGTTATATACCAAACGTTAATGCATAACGCACTCTTCCCTGGAATATTAACTGGTTATATACAAAACGTTTATGCACACGTAAAGCAATCTCCCCTGTGATATTAACTGGTTATATACCAAACGTCTATGCATAATGCACTCTCCCCTTGAATATTAACTGGTAATATACCAAACGTTTATGCATAACGCACTCTCTTTAGGATAATAACTGGTTATGTACTAAACGTTAATGCATAACGCAATCTCCTTTGGATAATAACTGGTCATATACCAAACGTTTATGTATAACGCATTGTCCACTGGGATATTAACTGGTTATATACCAAACGTCTATGCACAACACACATACCCCTTGGATATTAACTGGTTATATACCAAACGTTTATGCATAACGCACTCTTCCCTGGGATATTAACTGGTTATATACAGAACATTTATGCACACATAACGCAATCTCCCCTGTGATATTAACTGGTTATATACCAAACGTCTATGATTAACGCATTGTCCCCTGGGATATTAACTGGTTATATACCAAACGTATATGCACAACACACATACCCCTTGGATATTAACTATTTATATACCAAACGTTTATGCATAACGCACTCTTCCCTTGGATATTAACTGGTTATATACAGAACGTTTATGCACACATAACGCAATCTCCCCTGTGATATTAACTGGTTATATACAAAACGTCTATGCATAACGCACTCTCCTCTGGAGTATTAACTGGTTATATACCAGACGTATATGCACAACACACATACCCCTTGGATATTAATTAGTTATATACCAAACGTTTATGCATAACGCACTCTTCCCTGGGATATTAACTGGTTATGTACAGAACGTCTATGCATAACGCAATCTCCCCTGGAATTTTAACTGGTTATATACCAAACGTTTATGCACACATAACGCAATCTCCCCTGTGATATTAACTGGTTATATACAAAACGTCTATGCATAATGCACTCTCCCCTGGAATTTTAACTGGTAATATACCAAACATTTATGTATAACACACATGCCCTTTGGATATTAACTGGTTATATACAAAACGTCTATGCATAACGCGCTCTCCCCTGTGATAACTGGTTATGTACCAAACGTTTATGCATAACACACATGCCCTTTGGATATTAATTAGTTATATACAAAACGTTAATGCATAACGCACTCTTCCCTGTGATATTAACTGGTTATATACAAAACGTGTGCATAATGCACTCTCCCCTTGAATATTAACTGGTAATATACCAAACGTTTATGCATAACGCACTCTCCTTCGGATAATAACTGGTTATGTACCAAATGTCTATGCATAACGCATTGTCCTCTGTGATATTAATTGGTTATATACCAAA